TGTTCACACATAAGTCTATCACATACACAAATCAGAGAATAAAATTCCAACCAGGAAGTTAGGTTTTAATCTTTTAAATTAAGTTTAGGTTTTAACCTTTTAAATAAAGGTTAGCTTAATTTCTGTCCTGGTATGGATCTACTGGGCAGAAAGAGGGACTAAAGGGGCTATATAAACCTTAGTGTATCTGGTGAGGTAAACTCCTGGTTGTATCATGTGCTAGTAGCCACACAGCTGGGTCTAACTGTCTGACTTTGCCATGCATTTCTTGCATCTCCTTTGGTACATCACTTAATCTGTATTTCCCTATTGATGACTAAGAGTTTAATATAATTTCTGACAATTATTGGCTTGTTAAAACAGGCTAGTGGTTCATGAGCATTTATATGACAATGCTTTTCCCTGGTATTTGTAAGTAACTTCAGATACTGAAGGGGTAGACCACTTGGTGCTTTAGGGTAAATAAACTGCTGGGCACCTGACAAACAACAATAGGTAGTGCCTCTTTACTTCAGCAGAGTTTGTCCCTTTTCATGAATGCTTATGTTGCACAAGCAATTGATGCATTGCACTGCATCAGCACTGTTCCTAATCCTGATTTGGAAACATCAACTGTTAACTTGACAAAGCATGACACATGGCGTGTTGAAGTGTTTTCAGCTGCACTAACACAACAAATTGTAATGGCTCCAGAAGAGCCATTTCAGTTGATTGTGTCAATAAACTACAATCTCCAAAGAAGACGACATGCGGCCAACCTGAATAAAGGACAATCAAATCACATATAATAGGTTAATAGTCACAATTTTTGTCCTCATTTTTAGAAAAAATATTTTGCAGGAAAAAACCCTGTAATTTCTAGAGATTTTGCCTGTGATGAATCAGAAGTCCAGCCATATGGAACTTACCTCTTTACAATATTTCCTTCATTTTTGTATGTAGGGAGTGTATGACATTATTCTTCATACTTCTGCCACAAAATGAGGACTTGCCATATGTTCTCCGTTTAGGTCAAAGCGCAGGCTGTCCCGTGCAATTGGCCCTTCTCCAGATTTTCTGAGACATGGGCCTACTGTTATTTAAGGAAGACTTCTGCATCATTTCCTGGACCAAGTGCCAGCAGACAGAAGCTTGGCATTACTTCCTTTTTTTTTTTCCTCCATTAGTTAGTTCATTAGGAAGAACTACATCTGCTTGATGGTAGCACAGATTTTCTGCTTTCATAGTTAGGCTGATGGTACACACAGTGAATTCTAACCTCACTGAGACCATTAAGGTTTCAGAGTAAGTAAATCAGGGTACAATCTGACTTAATGAGACTAGCTGCTAGGTCATCAATTCTGTACATTGGCTGCCTTTTCTGTTGCCTGCCTACCAGTCAAAACCCACGAGGAGCTATTGTGTTTCCTCAGAGATCACTAACATTAGATAAAGATTGTTGGCCATGACACTTAAGTGCCTCAGCAAGGATGTGCATTATTTGTTAAGCACCTGGAACTTGCTGAGTTACTCTGTTGAAGTTACAGAGGAGGACAGTTCTTTCCCAACATTTATAAGCCCCTGAATAACCATAGCAAAATGACCTACAGCAGGAGGAAAGAGGTGTGCTGGTTTTGAAGACACATTTCAAATATTCTTTACGTTAATAAATAATTTTTTGTATCCTTAAGACAGAAACTTCTGACTAGGAAGTGTGCCAGTTTTCTTAGTAAGTTACCTCATTCTTTCTTCTAAAACCATCAGTAGCAAACTATAGTTGGTTATTTGATATCAGAAATTAAATACACTTAGCTGCTCATTTCACATACCTGGCAAATAAAGATACTTACTAGCCACAGATATTTGTGTGTATGTATATGCACATGCACACATAAACACAGTATATGGAGTGAAATGCACTTAAAATGAAAAATGGTAAGCAAAGTATTTTTAATAGTACCACGTGGCAAAACTGCAGTATCTAGTTGATTAACAAAATGCTATGTAAGGATTTTTCTGTAAAACTAGAGAACTGGATAAAACTATGCTTAGTTAGTCTAAGTTCATAAAAGACTGATTACTATTAAAGAAATGCGCAGTGCCAAAGAGAAAAGGAATTTACACCAAATAATGTCTATCCAAAATTCTCCTTTTCTCTGCAAGGGACACTAAATCAGCATACCCACCGATAATGCTCAAATAGCCGAAAAAAAGTGCCTCACCAGTCAACTGGGGAATTTACATCCATTCATCTTAATCCGATACTGATACTTCCTCAGGCACACACTTAATGCACAATTTCCCATTGCTTTTGACCATCTTCAGCCAACAGGAGGGCTCAAATATAAAATCACACAAGATGGAGATGAAAGGACCTAGTCAGTCAATTTGTTAAACCATTTGCCATGTTATTTTGACTCCTATAGTATGCTGTCAGATATACTTCTGATCATCGCTGGGACTTTTGATGTCATTTGGATGGATTCTGAATTACTTTGGCTTCACACACAAATGAATGGATTACACTCATCCATCCGTGGGTTATTCATCTGTTCTGTTCAAGAATACTTGCTTGTAAGACAAGGGTATTGCCAAAATTAAATAATTAAAGTGCTTCTTGTTTTTTAAGAAACCCCTTCATTTCTACTTACAGGTCCAATTTTCTCTATAAAATGAATAGCATATTTTTTCTACTTAACATGTCCAAGTATGATTTATGAAATGTTACTCAAGTAAGACAAGCTTATTTTACACTTTATTTACTCAGAACAGAACACTGATGGGAAAAATAAACGAGACAGACAAGATTATCCATAGTCAAAGACATGACTTGCTTTATGCCACAGCCAGGAAGGGAATCTGGGCCTCTTACATTACAGACCATTGACCTTGGAAAAAGAGAGATGGAATTCCTTTTGGATTGGACAACTGGAACAAACCACATAAGAAATCAGTATGTATTGAGAGCTAATGACTGAATGGCAGCCATACCTGCCAGACACATGGGTCAAGATGCTCTTAACATGTAAGGCTGCAAAAATAAGGCATCGAGAGGTATATAAATGCTGCTGCCCTTATAATGCTCGGAAGTAAATTCACTATTTCAGAGTCCTCCTCTTCTTTATTTGGTATGATCTTCAACAACATCAGAACTGCTTGCTCAGTAATTGAGAGGCACAACAATCAATTTCTACCTTAAAAATATTTTGTGTTTGTTTGGGAGTATTCTGTTCTATATTTGAAGTAACCTATTCCACTGAGAATGTTTTAAAAATAAGTATTAGCCCACTGACCATTCTCATCTTCCAGTATGTTTATTTGGCTGCTGCAAAGGTAGTTATCCAGCCAGCAGTTTAACTAATTAAGTCTTACTTCCCAGAACTGGGCTGACGACACAAGCATTATCAATGATGTTGATGACAAAAACCCAAAGCCAATGAAGGAAAATCCATTGTTCTGTGCCCTCTGAGAAAGAAAGAAGAAAAAAAAAATCAATTATTTGCCAAAGAGAAAAAAGGTAAAGAGATGACAGGCATCTTTTTTTAGATTAAAAAAAAAATCATGATTGTATTATGAATTATAATAAATTATATTATCAATTACTATTTTAAACTGTGAGACTGAGATCTATTTTTATAGCAATAGGATGTTAAAGAGTCTTGAGTACATTTTTTTTCATTAACTCTGCACCAGACATGCTGAGATCTCCTATGTGAAGAGTGAAATCATGACTCCAATGAAGTCAACAGGACTTTTTCCAGTGCTGTAACTGAACTCAGGTTTGATTTGCACTCTTTAACAGCCACTTAAGAGCTTGCACGAGAGCCAAAAAGGTTGTAGATGGCTACCGTGATTTTCAGACAAAAGAAATTCTTCGATTAAAAATACAAAAATAAGGGGGGTTTTGAGATTTGAAACCAACCCAAACCAACCCTCAGTTTTGCTATGCTCTGCACAGAAAAGCCTAAATTCCCATTAAAAACATGAAATTCTGACTTGTAGGTGGAACGGTTCACTGCTAAAATATCTCTGGTGGCATTTATCTACATAGATTACAATCTTGTCCATTTTCGAATTAGCCCAAATTCTGCCACCCATGACCAGTGTCTGGTGCGTTTGCATGCCAATCAGGAAAGCCATGTCTGTAACACACCATTTTCTAAGATAAGCTGTGATCATCATGGTTTGACTTTTATCTGCAGTTCGCATTTGCACTGAATATTTCTGTGGACTGACAGCTGAATCCCAAGGGCGAGCAAATCTTTAGTCCCTGCCCCTTGTGGTACCAAGAAAAATCTTGTCCAAATGGTAGAATAAATACAGTGATGCTCTGAGAGCAAGAAAATGTGAAGTAAGAATTGCAGTCACTTTCGAGTTCTACAGTCTGATTTTTAATACTTTACAATATCTTGCCTATCATTTGCGCTCGCTCAAAGCACAGAAGGGAAGGGAAGGGCTGCTCATGCTATCATCCGTGACAAGAGGCAGGTTGGTTTTGAAGCACAGAACTGGCTCTAGGCTGAGCACCCGCCTCTGCCTCTCCTCTCTCAAGAGCTGCCCACCCACCATCCAAGTCACTTGTTGCATCACCCTCGGTGGTTTTCCCTCCACACGCTGGAAAGCGACGCACCTGCAAGATTACAAAGCCAGCGTGCTGGCTGCCTTGGGCTGTAGGAGACACCACAGTCAATATGAATCACTTTTTTTTTTTTTTTTTCCTCCAAGACAGACGAGATCTTAAGATGTCCTCTCACCCGGGCTGCAAAGCTCTGCAATACGCATTTACCTTGAAGTGACGCGAGCGCCGGTTCCAATATTCACATTCCCCCCCCCGCTTTGCAGAGGGGAAACTCGGGTCTCACCGTCCTACGAGCACGCTCGTCCTTTCCTTGTAGGAACGACCGGAGGGGAAAAAACCAGACGGGCTAAGGGCGAGGCAAACCGGCCGGTGATGACCCCCCCGGCCCTCCC